GTCATTTGGCCACTGGCAAATGGGACTGAGCGCTAATTTAATTTACAAATTAGCCGCACTCGAAAACTGCACGGCAAGTGTCGGCCAGTGTTCCGTCGGTGTTTGGTGTCGCATTCGAGTGTCGCTTAATTTGTCATTTTTTTTTCGGGGCTACCAGTGAAGGTTGTGCTTGGCATAATGTGGACAAGGTGTAAAGTTTGAACGGAATTGTGATTGGAATTGAGATCATCAATTGGGGCAAGGTTGAAGAGAATTATAAATGGGATGGAAGACTTCAATACTATCTCCATATCCGCACCTCTTTTACTCCCATTCCCATAGGCAATTATTTTCTCCATCTTCTTTCATCCACGTTTCCCTTGATCTGTGACATGCAGAACTGTTTGTACTGCTTGGCATAATGATAATCGTATGCTAATTTGTGGAGTGAAACGAATTGCATTTCGAGTTGCACGATCCATGGGGCATGAAGTGGCATGGCAGGGCGACACGCCCACAGGCAGCAGCAGAAACAGACCAAGGTGCAGTTGGGGGGGGAATAAAGTGGCGCATTCAGTGTCAACGACAGTGGATGATAAATCACAGCCAGGCAACTTGTAGCTGGAGCACAAAAACATTTAAGTCTCAAGGCCTGTTTGTGGCAGTCAAATGTTGTAGCTCTGCCCCCTGGGTTCTACTTATACTCCTCCCCGCCTCTGCAGCGACTGCTTCTCCTCTGTACGAGCGTATCGGATGCTGTCATCAGCAGTGCCCGCCTGCCTGGAAGGTGCAGAGGTGGCAAGTTCTGTCAGATATCTCTGAGTTTTGCTTGCTCTGCCTTCTGCATGTTGATACAATGTGTGGAACAGAGCGGGAGGCACTCATCGAGGGGGCTTTGCGGCCACAAGACTGACTCTCTTGCTACAGTAAGTGCGCCTCTGTTTGTGCCTCATAATTATAATTATATTTCTCCCTCCCTGAGACATTTAGCTACCGTTGTGTAACTGCAAATAGTGCGACTGGTTTTTGGTTTCTTTCAGCCCTCCAATGCCATGCCATGCCATGCCATGCCATGCCATGCACCGGAAACGTGACCCAAAGGGAACTCCATCCCCAACCACCATCTGGAACTGAAACTGAAATCATTTTGGGGCATAATTAACTGCATTGTCTGAACGACTTCATTAGCAGTTCTCACTTTCGGTTTCATATCTTTTCTCTTGGCCAACTGGAAAATATTGAATATTAAAATAAAATTCCACATACCGATTCCAGGGCGGGTTATGTTAATATCCAAATGGATGCTTAAGCATTTGGACTCAACAGTTTTTCAATGCATTATCAGCAGCATTTCCAAGCATTCAATTCAGTTATTCAGTATTCATCAGCTTTCAAAATTGTGAATGTTTCACTTTTGTTTGTTTGCCTACCGAAAAAATTCTCCCGAATCGGAGGTTGACGCGGCGGAAATCAAAGCATATTGTTGGGTCAAGCTCTCGAAGAAGTAAACAGTTTTGTCGAGGCGTCAAAGCATAGGCCCTAAAGGCCTTTAAGACCTACAAAGAAAATTCAAATAAACAATTTGGATCTCCATTTTCATGGCTCTTTTTGTGCCTTTCCAAGAGAGTTTTGTTTGGACTTTTGTTTCTCATTTGATGAGACAACAAATGAAATGTTTATTACCTCGTCGCATGCAACATTTCTAATTGGAGTTTCATGAGTTATGTATGGGCCATGGGCTGACATTTCCGCGGAATTGACGGGCCTCTCCCTCGAATCAGTTCTTGCTGCTTTCCCTTCTGCAGAACGCTGAATGGTTCATTAGAGACATGCAAAATGGGAAAAAATAAAAGCAGCAAGCAGCACGGAGAGAGGGAGAGGAAGGTCCCAACTCCATTCAAGTTCCTCGACACGTTCTAACCAAAGTTCACTCAACTCTGCCACAATTGAGTGCCTGCCATGCCTGGCCCTCTTTCTCTCTGTGCAAAACTTTTAGCAATTGACAATGCGAAGCGGGTTAAACATTTGTTATTATTTGTCAAGCTGGCCAGACATTTGGGGACCATACAAAGTAGTTTTTATTTAGACAATTAATTGGCTGCCAATTAAAAGGCATTTTCCCCCAATCGAGTGCTGAAACCAAACGTGTACTTCTTTCTCTTAAAATGACCTAAAAACCAGATGCCATATGTCTGGCCATTCCTCAGCCTGAGCTCAGCGACATCTTTTCCTATGCGAGCCGACAGATTTGCTGTTGTGTGAATAATGAATGCAGAAATGCTCAGGGAGTTTCCTGTAAGAGGGGGAAGAATTGGGTCAGCGAGGAATTAAATTGCAAAGGAAATGCAAAAATATGAAGCTGCAGACAGATCCCTGGCATATGGTGAGCATTGCATTGCATTAATGAAAGAAACCGAGACGCACACAGACACAGTGACTTCCCTTTGAGAGAGAGAGAGAGAGAGAGAGAGAGATGGCGGGAGAAGGGCTTCGACGTGGACGGTTATCGGAGATCGGGCATCTTTTGGGCCATTAAACAACTCAAAGAAATGCACTTGTAAGCATGACCAGAAGTTGTTTATGTAACCTACATTCCGTCACCCTTTTCCCAATGTTTTCAGAGATATTGTGGAGGGGGAAGTGAAAATGGGTTATCATTAAATATGACACACACTCACCCTGCCCGCCTGGCAGACAGCAGACAGCAAACAAAATCAAATTGAATTGCACTGCTTGAAGGTGTGAAGAGTGGGGTAGGAACCGGGAAGCGAAAGAAGGGAGGGAGTGCGAGAGGTGAGAGAAAGAGGGATGGGGGGCAAACGTCTCCTCAAACATGCTCCAACATGCACAATTAACAAAAAGCCGAAGCAAACGAGGGAACGAAACATTGAGGAGAAACGTTTGTTTGTATCGCTGTGATTCCGATGTTGCAGATAAGATATGGGAACGAACCACATATAATACGAATGGGAAAGGGAAAAGGGGAATGTGCGCTGGCAGAAGAAAGCAGTTTGATGACGTAAATGCGACAAATTCTTTCCAATTAAGTGTCAAGCGAGTGTTCACCAAAGGGGGGGGGGGGGAGGGAACCTAACGATAAGAATTCATGAGGCGACACATGGGTTCTGTCACAATAAAACATTTGTTGTACGAGTTGTTCTTATAATAGGATCCCAAAGGCACTAAAATGTTTGGACTTACCTTTATCTTTATTCCATAAATAAGTAAATAAATAAGTAGAAGCAAATGTTAGATTAATGAAACCCCCAAAGGTACTGCCAAATTTCAGCTTATTTCATTGAATCGCAATTTGTAACAACTCCCAAGGGAATTTGCATGGTTGCTAAGTTGAACGAATATTTGAAGAGGCTTCCGATTGGCACACTTTAAAATCAATTAAACCCCTTGGCAAAAAGCAATATTTAAAATATTTTCCAAAAGCAATTAACAAGTTCAAAGTCGATTAATCAAATATTTTCGTTTGCTGTTATTGAACTCTTGTTAAGTCACACAAAACTCTTCATGTGTATTCGTTTGATGTACATGCTTGGCCATGTTTTTGTGGAATTTAACGCATGATTGAGTCATTAAGATACGGGGTGTACTCACACCAATCGTCCCCTTCTGCGGGTAATACGATCATCCAATAAACTGAAAGTAATTTCGTGTAAAACGATCTACTGTGTGTATGTGCAAAATGCAAACAGTTGCCGCACTTAAGTTTCGTTTGGTTTTCGATTTCGTTTAATAGCGTCTCAGCAGAAACAAACCAAACCACAACAGAACCAGAACTGGTATAATAAAACCACTTTGGGTTTTGGCAAAGGGTGCTCAAGGGGGTCAATATTCAGGGTAGAAGGTGTAGGCTGTTGGGCTGTTGGGCTGTTGGCTCGGGGCATTTCATTTCATTTGAGTGATCCACTGATCCACTGATTCAATGATTCATGTTGTGGTTTTTGGTCTGGGATGTCGGAAACGAGTCTGGAGATCACTTTGATGTGAAAGAGTTGTTGATGTGCGATAAAATGTAGAAATATGAATATGGAAATTATAAGATATTTCGTATAAACAGTGTGTATAGACATAAAAGATTATGACCCAACACAAACAACATCTTGAGAGATTGACCATTTTAGCATGCTAATAGCTGGAGCAGTTTCACACAGGTTTAGGGTATTTTTAAGTCGATTCCTCTGTCCTCTGGCCCGCCACTATTGTTCTTCTATAAATGTGCAAAAATCATTTGAGTGTAAAAATTTCCTTATAGCCCGCTAATTATAGAACAGCTGCCGAGCCGAAGCAGATCTGCCAAAGTTGAATAACACTGAGGCGCTGACACACACTCGACCGAGAGGCTCATCTCATACTCGTATACAATTGCACATTTGGCTGTATTTTTAGCATAATTTTAAACAATTGGGCGCCGCCAATCGGCAACAGATAATCGGTAATCGATAAACAAATAGCGCCAGTAGAGCGCAGTGGGGAATGGGGGATACCGAGCTACCGAGCTGCTGCACCCCCTGCTGCGACACGTGCAATTTCATTTTCCATTGGCACATACCATTACCATTACCATTACCATTACCATAACCATGTGTATTCCCATTACCCCGATTGCACCACAGACACCTCTCCCATGCCTGCCCCTCATGCTGTGGCAGCCAGCGGTGGCGTCAATTTGATTAAATGTCTTTCAATTGAATCGTGGCTGAATGGCTGCTGTTGCTCTGCTTCACCGATTGCGTTTTCCCATTTGATTTGATTTCAACCGCACACCCAGACACCCAAACACACACATCCCATAGTTTCACTTTTGCTTTTATTTTTCCATTTTTCTTTTACTTTTACACAAGTTCTGTGCTCATTTCGCTTACATTCAAGCAATCAATCAACCAATCACGCATCCCATTTAATGTTAATAATATTAATGAAAACCATTTCACCTGCTTTCAAATTCATTTGGCTTTAAATTCTGCTTCCTATCTGTTTTTTCTTCTACTCCTTCTTATCCCATGCAGCCATCATATCCTATACCAATCCCAAGCTACAAATGCCCCTAATGGCATCTGCAATATACGCGCCCACCACAACATCCAAATCTACAGCTACAGCAGCACCCGCTTCGGCTTCATTATCATCAACACCACAACCACACTGCTCCTCATCTTCGCCAGCATCAGCAGCATCAGCACCATCCGCATCCGCATCCGCATCCTCCGGGCCGGTTGGGGGAGGTGCTTTCCAAGGATTCGTTACGAAATTGCGTAATTTCAAATTTGATGATACGAAAAATATTAGAAAACGTTTCCATTTCGATTACATATCAAAGGACAGATTTTTGGGTATGTTTCAAAATTTATATTAAATATTTTTCAGGAAGAACTTCCAAAAAAGAAATAAAGAAATACAAAAAAGAATCTCGATTAATTTTACAGGTTTCTTGGTTAATGAATTTGCCCTTACATAATATGGTTTTTGTTTTCCAATCATCAAAAGAACATCTCCATGATGATTGGGTTTTACATATACATATAATCCAGATGATTCCCGCTTTTAAATTAGCATTTTCATTAACCATTTTTGTTAAATTTTACGGGTTCGGCATTCCCACACTAATGACGGGCCCCAAAAAGCAAAATCAACGTGGGCGTTTTGATCCAATGCTTGGTGGCGCCTCACGCATGACACCCACATGCAGACACGTAAAGACAAACACACACACACACCCTGGTAAATTTCACTTCATTCAGAAAAGGTGGCGTCTGTAACTTAATTTGAATGTTTTATTGTCGCTTGATGCTACTTAAACTTCGACTTATGAATATTAAATCGTCATGTCTCTGGCTGTGAATCGGATGGAGGTGGATATGGGCAACCGATGGGATGGATGGAGTGTTTAGGTTCCCGTTGTTAATGAAGCAACGCATCAGACACACACACACAGGTGGGGCACGACCAGATCCAGACCAGAGGTTCGTCATGTGTTCATCAGAATGAAATTACAACCACCTCCCACTCTGGGGGGAGCAAAACTAAACAAACAATAAATAAAAGTAAAAACTGGGAAATGGAAAATAGAAAATAGAAAAAACACACACAGGGGAAAAGCTTTCAGCGGGCAGAGCAATCAAGGCGTTGCTATCACAGAGTTATAGTTCTTGACAACTGATTTATCAGAACTCCGTCAAAGGCGAACACGCGATCTTGTGGCTCTCTAATCAGCTCACAGCTGCAGGTGGTGCATTGCATTGGTTGGATTTTATTTTCGGGCCATGCCACATAAATTCCATTTCCCTGTGGCCGAAGATCAAAGCCAGATGGGAAAGGAAAAAGAAGGTTGTGTGTGGTTCTGGGCGCAGATGTGGATGCGGTGGCCCCTTAGATGAACCGCAGATGCATTGCAACAGGTGGAAGCCGCGTGAGAGGAAAGCGTGTTAGAAAGTTATCGCAGGCAGCCTTTTGCCTTTCCACGAAACGTTTCGAACCTCTTTTGTGAAATTTAATTAAAAGCAGCCATCCATCGAAGAGTCACTGACATTCTGGAAGGGGCTTTTCTTTAACATTTGCCATTGGCTTTGGCTTTGCCTTGCCTATTAAAGAGCCATGCGCACACATCATAAAAAGTTTTTGAGGCCTCCTCTCTCTCTCTGCGAAGGCCAGCGAGAAATGGTAATCGGGTAATTGAAAATTCTCAGCACGTGCTTCTATTTTTGCTCCCGTTCGTTGGCCTACAGTGGGCGGCATATGTATAAGTATGCGTATGCCAGCCATTCGAGATAAGTTCTTTGAGATATTGTTTACTTCCGCATAACATTGCTCGCATTACTTATCATCTTGAAGTTGTTGCCAGCTTTTCTTTGCTTATCATTTCCCTGGAATGTTTTTGTATTCAACATCTTATCAGGTGATCTCACACTTATTTCGAGCACTGTGCTACGCATTCTCTACGAAATTACATCACCTGCAGTAATTCAATTTATTTTATCTCATCTGCAAAATAAATATAAAAATGTTCAAGCGATCTGCAAACTATTTGTAAGCACTGTGATCATTAGTATGCGTCCAGGCCCGACCAACTTGGTTCCTCTTGGCTTGTTCTGCACTCAGCTTAGCTCTCGGAAATGAGCTAAACATTATTTTCACTCAACTTGAAATGTTCGCCATAAAGGAGAGCAAAGAAGTTTAACGATCTCCAACTGGGGGGAGCCTGGGAGGAGCCTCGGTTTGTCGACACCCCGCTAAATGGTCTGTTAACAGTTTTTTAAATTTCCACGCACTCATTCCCCCAGCTCCAGCTGCAGCTCCACTCCCGGGCTCTTGGCTAGATTATGCCATAAATCAGTTTGATGTTGCCATTGTGGGCTGCGGAGATGATGCATCGGCATGCCAGGCATTTCGACCACAAATCGAAACAAAGGAATCCATAAACAAATTTGGAATGCACTGAAAACATTCAATTAATTGGACAAAACATAAACCTCTTTATGCCCTCTGATCGTAAAACTGTGCACATAAATTTGTGGGCGCGTTAAAAATCTGACAGCAAATAAAGTTTTAACTCCCCACCTCTCATTTGATGGATTACTAAAATTCTACAACTTTTTATGTCTCCCTGATTGCAGGCGGTCAACTGAAGACCAAGAATGGACAGAAGTACGTGTTCAACGGACCGCCATCGGGCGTGTATGTCTCCAGGGCCTGCCTGATCATCTCGGCCTTCATTATCATGGTGGCGCTGCTCTTCTCCATAGCCGTCACCTACTTCTTGGCCCGTCAGGGCGTCTCTGCCCCCACAGAAGCCAGTCCCGGGTGAGTAATGCTGCTGCTGCTACCTGGAGACCAAATCAAAATCCGTTCTGGTTTCCATGGGTGCGGTCTGGTCTTTACTTCGTTTTGCATTCTGCTAAACGTTTCGGCAAGCGTGTTAATTGGCAGTCGAACGCGACATGACCTCATTTTTGAAAGTGAAAGCAATTTATGCGTTTCCTTTAGCCCGACTCCTACATCTGCTCCTCTGTCTCCTCCTCCTGAGACTCTTCTTCTGACGCATTTCGAGGTGCGGAAGGGTTCAAGTTGGAGCTGGAGGATGTGGATGTGGGTGTGACCGGAGGAGCACTTTGCATGAATGAAGCCAAATTGATTTGTTTGTTTTGCAACTCTTTTGCCCTACAGTTGCATCACCGCTCACCACCCCGAGGTGAACGCCACGCCCATTGAGACTGCTGGCTGGCTGAGCCTCAATGCCCCGCCCAAAGCCACGCCGTCAACGGACACAGCAACAGCCCCGGCACCGCCACCTGTTGTGGAAACGGAGCCCAAGCTGGCAAAGGCAGCGCCCGTGGGTGACATAGCCGTGCCGCCCCAGCCGCCAACGGAAGTCCTCGATAACAGCACTAAGCCCACAGATCGTGCTCTCAAGCTCTACGAGGGCTGGCGTCCACTGCACTACAGGTGAGTGAAGGGTGAAATTGTTTTCAAGTGCTACTCACAGCAATTTAGCACTTGAGAGTGAGAGTTTGATGGAACTCGCCAGACACGAGAGTGCCTTTGCCTTCTGTTCAAATTGCTTTGCATGTTCTCCTTTTGATTTGAAGCTGACACACAAATCGTTTCGCTCAGCCACCAGAATTCTGTCATTTCCGGATCCACCACACTGATCTGATCAGGGAAATGCCATCCCGCTGACAGTTGACTGCAATCTGGATCATTTTGTGTATTAAATCAATGCTATCTCGACAAGTTAAGACACTGCCTGTCTGGGCCATTAAAATGACAAGCAGAAGTTTGTTGCAAGGCCGATCATTTCCATCGAGGAAAACAACTGTCATTTATTATTCTAGTAGTAATCCAATATTTAACTGGGCATAAATAGAGAGATTAATTTATCTGCACTGTTTGCATAGCGTTTATTACATGTAATTATTCTTAGAAAAGATTACGTTTTGTTTATTCCGCAACTTTCACTTGTCTACGCGCATTAAATTCTTACTTTACGTGGCCACGTCCTGTTTATCCTTGACAGCGACTGAAAGTGAAACTTACACTGAGACCGGCAGACTCCTTCAGTCCTTAGCCATTGACGTCACTCTTGGGGGTCATGTACTTTGTACGCATACGCTACGTATATTTTTATTTCTATTGCGCAAAAAAGTGGGTCAAGGATTGAGACGTCATGTAGTTCGGTAGTCAGCAGCCAGCAGCCAGCAGCCGTGTACCAAAAGTGGACACCAAAGAACGAGCAGTTGCTGCTTATGCCACATGTAACTAATGAACCAAAAAGTACTTGTTCAAGACACCACAGGAGATGGCTGGCTGGCCAAAGAGTTGGCAGGTTTTGGGGGGCTCGTTAGGCGTCTGCTCTTCAGTCACACTCTGAGAGAAAAAGATGCGGAACCAAAGCGTAGCGGAGCGGCATAGATCTGAGGAAACAATAAACGCACGCCGACTGTCGGCATGACATAATGTGCCAGATACTTGGACCGCGAGCCGGATAGAGATAGATGGCCGCCAGATAGCAAGATGCTCGGCCAGATGGGCGAAGATGCGCTCTCCTCTCCAGTAGCCGCATGCATTAATATAATTGACACAGAAAAGCCCAAGCTGTGCATTAATTTGTGCACCGCACGCAGCCTCCAACTCCGCTCAGGGAGATGGAAAAAGATACGCCATGTAGTTGGGATGAGATGCATTCTCGATGCCTGATGGATTGCGGTTGCGGCAAGTGCAGCAAAGTTCTCGTTTGCACCAATCGATGGCAACTGATGCAGCAGCTGCTGATCAAGGCAACACTGTTGATTGGTATCTCTGCAACCCGCGAAGCCAACCTCTTCTCCACCCATTTCTTGGTCGTATCCATGGCAAATTGCTGGCCCGAAGCTTGCTTCCTGGTTGCCCCCGGGCGCACGCATTGTAAACCAAGCCAATCAACTCAATTAAATGCAACAAGGGCTTCCAGATTGCCTGTGGCATGTGTGTGCGAGAGCCGAGGGAATTGATTTTCAATCTATTTGTGCCTATTGCACTCAGAATAGCAGAGAGCTTAAACAGCAGAGTGAAAAGAGTTTGAATCTAGAGAGTTAGAGCATTCAATTTTCGTTGTGGCTGCAGCATTGGCTTCCCCACTTCTTGTTTGCTTTGATTGCTGATGCGGCTTATGATGTGGCATGGCATGCATTTCATTTGCCGCCAAACGCAGCGACTAATGGCAGTCCCAGTCCCAGTCCCATCGAACATCGAACGAAGCCAGATCACAGCAGTGTGAATTGCATTGCCCTCAAATGGATGCCAAACACATGTGCTGGCGCTGCTCTCTGACTGAAACTGATTGATTGATTGGCACTTTTGATGGCTGCAACTTGGCACTTTTTGGCAGCCATTTGCATTTCACCTGCAGCAGACACTGCAGCTTCCTACTATCCGCATTTAATTTCCCGTTCTATTTGTACGATTCCTCTTCGGTCTCCTTGCAGCCTGCTGATTGAACCAAACATTGTGACATCGTCCAACAACGGCAGCCTGACCATCGAGATCGAGCGGGATGTGGCCAAGGTGAGTGGCTGGGAGCCCATTGTGCTGGACGTGCACAATGTGAGCATCGCCAATGTGCGTGTCATTCGGGCGCCACTTGCGGGCAAGACCACCAATGGCAGCGATGAGCTGGAGCTGGACTTTGACAGCGACTATGGCGAGGACAATGCCACATTTGTGGTGCGACTGGACAAGTCCTTGGCCGCGGAGCCAAAGCTGCGGCTGCTGCTCAGTCTGGATTTTATCAGCCAGGTTACGGAGACACTGCAGGGAGTCTACAAGACGAGCTACACCAATCCGGATACCAAAAAGCCAGAGTAAGTGATGGCAGCACCACCTAAAAGATAATCGCTTAATGGACAAACCTACTCTCCCTCTTGCAGATGGATGATCAGCACACAATTCTCGCCTATCGATGCGAGACGCGCCTTCCCCTGCTTCGACCGGCCCGACATGAAGGCCAACTTCTCGATCAGCATCATCCGCAACAGCCAGTACAAAATGGCTCTGTCCAACATGCCCAAGTCGCACAGCAGCGCCTATCGTCCGGGCTTCATCAGGGATGACTTCCTGACCACACCCAAGATGCCCACGTACCTGGTGGCCTTCATTGTCTCGAATATGGTTGATTCCCGCTACGCGGCACTCGACAGCAGTGTGATGCCGCGAGTGGAGATCTGGACACGGCCGACGTTTGTGGACATGACCCACTATGCCTACAAAATGGTGCGCAAGTTCCTGCCATACTACGAGGAGTACTTTGGCATCAAGAACAAGCTGCCGAAGATCGATCTGGTCTCGGTGCCGGACTTTGGCTTTGCCGCAATGGAGAATTGGGGTTTGATCACGTTCCGGGACTCGGCGCTGCTGGTGCCAGAGGATCTGGAGCTGGCCTCCTCGTCGGAGCATATGCAGTACGTGGCCCAGATCATTGCCCATGAGCTGGCCCACCAGTGGTTCGGCAATCTGGTGACGCCCAAGTGGTGGGACGATCTCTGGCTGAAGGAGGGTTTTGCCTGCTACATGAGCTACAAGGCCCTGAACCATGCCCATCCCGAGTTCCAGATCATGGACACCTTCACCATGCTGGAGTTCAAGGAGTCGATGCAGCACGACGCGGACAACACCTCCCATGCCATCTCCTTTGACGTCAAGTCCACGAATGATGTGCGGCGCATCTTCGATCCGATTAGCTACTCCAAGGGCACCATCCTGCTGCGCATGTTGAACTCCATTGTGGGGGATGAGGCCTTCCGCACGGCTACCCAGGATCTGCTGCAGACCTTCGCCTACGAGAACATGGATCGCAACGATCTGTGGGCAATCCTCACCCGCCACGGCCACGAGAAGGGCACTCTGCCCAAGGAGCTGAATGTCAAGCAGATCATGGACTCGTGGATAACACAGCCGGGCTATCCGGTGGTCAATGTGGAGCGCCGTGGCGCTGACTTGGTGCTCCGCCAGGAGCGATATCTGCTGCCCGCCCCCAACCCAGCGGATCACAGTCGCTGGTTCATTCCCATCACCTTCGAGACGGACGAGCTGCACAAGGGCGACAACATACCCACGCACTGGATGACCAACCAGGAGGACGAGCAGGAGCTCATCGTCAGCCATGTCTTCAACAGTGCCAGCAACAACGACAGCGTCGTCTACCTGAATCTGAATCGTCAGGGCTACTACCGCGTCAACTACGACATGATCTCATGGCTGGCCCTCAAGAAGAACTTTAGCACCCTGCCACGGATAACGAGAGCGCAGCTCCTCGACGATGCACTCCATCTGTCCCAGGCAGAGTATCTGCCCTACGACATTCCGTAAGTTGGATCTTTTAGGCAATTCTTTCTCTTCTCTAACTGAAGTTTCCCTTATTCCAGGCTGACCTTCCTCATGGAGCTGTACACGTCCGTGGATGATGAGCTGCTGTGGAGTGCTGCCAAGCCGGGACTCAATTATCTGATCTACAACTTGAAACGGGAGCCAGCCTATGAGACCTTCAGGGTGAGATTTGATAGACAACTTAAGTGATTTTTTACTCATGCTGAATGCATCTTTCCTTTCTCAGGCCTTTATGAAGTTCATCGTGCGTCCCGCCTTCGATCAGTATGGTCTGAATGAGCCCGACAACGAGTCCCATCTGCAGTTGAAGCATCGCGCTCTGGTGGCCAACTTTGCCTGCAAATTCAACTACGATCGATGCACCCAGGTGGCCCAGTCCAAGTTCCGCGAATGGATGCGGAATACCAAAAAGAATCCGTAAGCTCCGCAAACGAGTATCCAAGTCGAAGCTCAATATATTTATCTTTTAGAATTAAACCCAATTTGAAATCGGTGATTTACTGCACGGCTCTGGCGGAGGGTTCCTACCCGGAGTGGTATTTCGCCTACAAGCAATACAAGACAACCACAAGCGCCTCTGAAAAGGAGGAGATACTCACCTCCTTGGGCTGCACCACAAAGCCCTGGCTGCTGTCCAAGTGAGTAGCGAAAACCTGCACTAAATGGAAAAAGTTTAAATATAATTTTCGAATCCTCTTGCAGATACCTCAACATGACCATCAATCCCACATCGGGCATAATGAAGCAGGATGGAGCACTGGCCTTCCGCGCCGTAGCCTCCAATGCCATTGGCTATGAGATTGCCTTCGATTTCCTGCAGAGCAACATCAAGGAGATTGCCGAATAGTGAGTATTAGTCGCAATAGCCTAGTTATCCATTTAATTTATGATACAATCTCTCACAGCTATGGCGATGGCTTCTCCACGCTCTCCGAGATGATCAAGTCCCTGACCATCTACATGAACAAGGAGTACCACAAGCAGCAGCTGCAGGACTTGTCCGCCAATTGCCGCAAGCTGGGCCTCAGGGCCGTCGAGACGGCCATCAATCTGGCCATGGAGCAGGTCAATGATAATATCTACTGGCGCAGCCACTCCTACCACAGCCTCAAGAACTTCCTCGAGGGCATTGTCAGCGAGTTCCAGATTAACATTTTCTAAGTAGAAGCTGAAGCTGAAGCGAAAGTAAAACAGAAAACTCAAATTGAATTCAACCAAAAATGCGATTTAATTATTATGATAACTATTACCATTATTTGTATACATTCGAAAGCCTCAAATTAATTTAATGAAAACGAATTATTTGCGAAAAGTGATATAAACGTGTAAGTTAGCCAACATAATTTAGGTAAACGATATACTTTTTGCAATTGTATATTTTATTTATTATAAGTCGGGCCTCTTCTGCTTCTTGGTATTGCTCTGTAACGTTCCTATTAATGCAGAAATACATACATACATACATACATACATAAATAATCGCACACCACACACAATAGATCTAATGCTGCTTATGTAAAATCCTATCTTTATTCTACGATATATGATATGATATGTATGCTCGATCTTTGATGGTCGAGTACTCTACTTTAGTGCACACCACACCTGTGTAGATCCTAAGCGAATCAAATTAGCACTAAGTAAACCAAAAATCTATTTTGTAGTCACATCAATCAAGCGAGCAAGAGCACGGCTACAGTTTGTTAAGACGAAATTGCGGGAAGAAGCGCCCATTGTCCATCTATAAGGATTTGGGCGGCAGAATGAGTGTCCTTAATGCATGGTTAAAAATGTTGTTAAAGCAATAAGCACATGCACGCCACACAAAAATACATACATACATACATCAATTTACTTTATAAACCATACGAGATATATTTATTAATGTACGAGTACCTACATATTATGTATTTTGTAATGCCCAACACTGAAATACTTATATCGCTAGCTGCACAACCATGTAAATAAGTTTTAAAGCTTATACTTAACATTGGAAATAAAATAAACCATGTATTTACGTAATTTTATTCAAAACAGCGGCTCTCCATTTTCCAGGGTATCGAAACTTCTATACGCAATCCCTCTGTGGGATTTTCTGGGGGATGCTTTTTCTGTTCATATGCTGCTATTGGATCTTAGTTTATAATCAATCCAATAAAAATAAGTCTGGAAAGCAAACAGTCGTGTGGAGAATTGATTAGTCGTTCGTGTTAAATTATGGTTTAAGTGTTGAGAGTCCTAACTATCTGGCAATTTTAAATAGAACATCAGAATCGAGAAATATGATTAAAATGCGGTTTACTTACGGTATATACTAAAAATCAGATGGTGTGTTATGGGTCTGTCGGTATATTTCATCGATAAATCCACGGTCACACTTCCCAACTCAGTAAACAAAAAAATTAATTTTGAATTGTTTATAATAGCATATTAAACATGTCCAATTTGGCACACAAGCGCAAGTGGCTGCCCGCCGAAGAGGACACCTTCATTCGTATCTGGTCCGAGAATTTGGATCTGTACCGGAGCGGCAAGAAACAAATGGAAGTTTGCAGACTGCTGGAGGACGAATTCCGATATGAAGGCATTGAAATAAATGCCTTGGGAATCAAAACGAAAATGGACTCATTTAAGCGCAAGTTTTTCAAGTAAGTCTACTATCTTGCTGGCCGCCGTGCTTTTGAGGGTACGATTGTAAGATTTCCATACTTATAGCATCGCAAGAGGCGACGAAAAGCTGCAAACGCGAAAATGGCGGCACTACAAAACTCTGGACACAATATTCGGATCACAGTTGAAGGAGTTGGAAGAAAGCGGTGACTCCAATGAGCCCGTTCCCAAGCAGTCGAGGAAATCCAGATCAAGCAAAACAAATAACGCCGATCAACCGTTCAACCTGGTTTACGTAGACGAGTTGAACGGGCTGCTGTTGGACGAGGAAGACTGCACACCTCCCAGCAGTTCAACGAGCGAGATCTACCAGGAGCCACCGGTAAAGAAGAAAAAAAGAAGCGTGGTCGAGCAGGAGCCACCAGCCAAACAGCAGAAATCCAACAACGCTGCCCATTCCAAACAGAGTGGCGCAAATTCAAAGCCGCGCTCACAATATACCAAAGCAGGAAAACTCAGACAACCCAAGCGTCCTCGCAGGAATTGGACCATTGAAGAGGAAGTCCAATTCATAGAGGTGTGGAAGAACTATGTGGGGGATTTGCTGGGAGAAGGAAAGAAGAAGGCGGATATCTACCGAGCTATGAAAAAGGAGCTGCAATCACATGGCGTGGGTTTGGACAAGATAGCCTCGGACTTTAAGGCAAAAGTTGAATCTTTGAAGCGTGTATTCAAGTGAGAGCATTCGAAAACTTGTTGTTTAGCATCTTGTTTAAGTTCCTATGTATTTTAGATCTGAACATGAGACCTATGGAGCCAAATCGGAATGGATTCACTATGCAAAGCTGGTTGATGTTGTGGGTCCTTTGAATGGCATACTTATTGAAACACATAACGATAGCAGCAGCAGTTCCGACGACTGGTTCCGTAATGAAACAAAGCCTGAATCTCCTAGTCAGTTTCCCGATCCTTTGGAAGAACAGCAGGAGCAAGAGGCCAACGAATCTGATTCTGGTTCCTTCTGTTGGGTCCTTGATAACTCAACAGAAGAGGCAGCGCCTTCTAATCAGTTCCTAGATCCCACACTGCCAGATGATGAATATTCTCCAGTTCATAGCCCAGTTCAGAGTTCACAAATTAGTGAACTTAATGACGCTGATGATAATGATTCAGACAACCCCAAAGACTACGTGCCGGATTTCGAAGAGAAAGAGGAGGCTCCCCAAGAGCTAGACGACATTCCCTCGAGGCAGAAGAAAAAATCAGTAGAGCAATTTACTAATTTCGTAGCAAAAGAGTTGCTAGTCTTGAATGACGATCTGCTTCTAGAGGCCAAGCGACACATCTACGATGTTCTTTGTAAAATGGAACACAAGCGACTGCTGCTAAATAAGAAAACTTAAATGTAAATAATCAACAAGTGTACATTGTTGGATGCATTTTAAAAATGCCATTTATTATGTGTATTTCATTGGTTTGAATAAAACATGCTTAATTTCCTTAAAGTTAATACACAAATGTTTAGTTATGAGATGAATATGGATTGTATACGGTACACGCTGAAGGTAGGATTGTAAATAAAATAAGATTTAAACAATGAATTAATTAATGTCTTACCTGGTAACAAAACATTTGCGACACAGCAACTACATTTTGATGTATGTAATTAATTAAAACTACTGCATTATCGACTGTATGCATGTGAATTGAATGTTCTGTTTAAAGCAAATTAAATAAATAAAAAATATTGTCGTCCAATCACATATGAAATAAATGACTGAAGGTTCTACCGAGATTTGAACTCGGATCGCTGGATTCAAAGTCCAGAGTGCTAACCATTACACCATAGAACCGTGCTGTCTGGCTGCCACTAAACGAAATAAAACTTGGCGCAGTAGGCAAGAACATATAATACGACAAATTTCAACAACTACTTTTGAAATACCCCCCACAATGAGAAGTTATTCTCCAAAAAATATTAAGTTGAAAAAGCTAGGTAAATAAAAAAAGATCATTTCATTGCAGGTTCTACCGAGATTTGAACTCGGATCGCTGGATTCAAAGTCCAGAGTGCTAACCATTACACCATAGAACCTTGTTGTCAAACAGCTGCCAAAACGCAATTTTGAGCCAAGTGCGGTTTGTTCTGCTTTTCACCCCCAGTGCTGTGCATCGCAACAAACGTTTCGGTTAATTTCGAATTTTAGATGGCTATTGTCACTAACCATACTGTATACGGCAGCAACGAAATCGATGCATGCAATTTTGAATAAAGCAGTATAAAATCTGCATTTAAAAAAAATACAATAACAACTTTAATTGGTATATTTTTTTTTTCCAGACACCGAGGGTCCGGCCACAAACCCCCACCCCTCATTCTGCACATGTTGCGGCAGGTCAAGTTCATACGACAAGCCCCGAAAACAGAATTTCTTGCAGTTCAGCAAGTCAACTCACCAACACAATATACTTACATTACTTGCAAGACAAAACCGGTTTGGACCGGTTTGAATATGAAGAATCTGGTATACTCTATGGTTAGTACTATTGTATACATCTGTTGTCAAGCAGGCCGGGCGAGAAGCACATTTTGTTGAATCGATAATGTGAATTCCAAACAAACAGTTTATATTTATATCTCTGTGCGAATATAGAAATATAAAAGAAAGTAAAATGGAAAAGCGTAAGACTTTGTTGGAGAAATATAATATACCCTTGAGCCATCTGGACTTTAGGTATGCGGTTTGACTAATCCAAAACTGCAAGCGAATCATCTTAGCGTACCTTTCCCGCCCCTAGTTATGTGAAAACGTGTAAAAATGCACGAGAAATGGAAAAAATTGTACAAATCCTACGCTCTGGGGAGGAGGGTAATTTCCCGGACCTGCAGCGTTGCTCCGAGGAGAAACTCAAGGAGCTGAAGCCTGATAGTAAACTGTTCCGCTTTGAGGAGCCGATACAAAAAAGCAATATCCTTGATAAACAGGAACTCAAGCCCGTTCTGGTAGGTATCGAAAACTCACTATGTTTCGCTGACTTCTGGAGTTCCATTATATTCTTTGAAGGACTGGACACATGACATCAAGTCGAAGGACAATGCATTGAACGAACTAAAAAATGACATGGCATGCTTGGGCTTAGATGTGGCGCCCATGCGGAAACCAGCCAAAATAGACGCGGATATGCCAAGCACCAAGAAACAATCAAAGCCAAAGCCTCCAGCACCTCCAATGCCCCCAAAGACTACGGAAAAGCGCATCCGTTCAACGGACTACAACAAATGGGACAAGTACGATCCCGATGAGGAAATACTGCGCATGGAATTGTCGGAGGAGCGAACCAAAGAGCAGGAGGAGCTAAAGAATCGACACGACCCCAAGCCGACTCCGACATCTGAAGAAATATTGAAAAGTGAAAAGGAAGCACTCTATGAACGCCTCCAGCAACATCTAAAGAAACTTAGCCAGGTGGAAAAAGAACAATTTGCAGAAAGGTGGGTAACATCCACTCTTTCTGGGGATTTATGTTAAGCTCCGATTCATTTTAGGCATCGTTTGCGTGGCAACGAATACTTCAAGTCAAAGGAATATGAGAGTGCCATAGAGGAATACAATTGTGCCATTATATACGATCCTGAGAATGCAGCTCGGGCATACAACAATCGCGCGTTGTCACGTAAGTTTCAACGACTTCCAAGACTAAGTTTTACCTTTTAATTGCTTCCAATAGACATGAAAGTTAAGAACTATCTCGCCGCTATATCGGACTGCAAGGCATGTCTGGAGATGGAGCCGGAGAATTTAAAGGCTCGTCTTCGCCTGGCTGATGCCAGCTATGCACAAGGATTTCGCCGCGAGGTAATGAAAATGTCCCTTAATTGATGAGGCACATGAAAACCCTTTTCTTTCAGTCCCTTCATCTCTACCAGCGTGTGCTAGAGCTGCAGCCGGATAATGCAGCTGCCTTAAAGGCTCTGGAGCTGCTAAAAAAACAGCTAGGAGAGCTTGCTCCAACCCATGCCACTCGTTTGATGATTGAGGAACTGAAGCCAGATGCCTCGGATAAACCTAAAGAAAAGCCCAAGGAAGTGACTACCCCTGTGGCGAAGACAGTTCCAGTGGCGAAGCCGCCTCCTGTCAAAGAATATGATCTGGCCGAGCTGGTGAAACCGAATCGTGTGGTCAAAAGCAAACTGGTCACTGCAGCCGAATCTTTGGGCAATAAGTTCAAGCCGCCCCCTGCCTCCGCACCCAAGAAGCAGACACAGCCACAGGCACTTACAGGCGAAGCCTCCACACTGCCAGCAATGCTCCGCATGCCCCAGGACAACATCAAGAGCAGCAACAAACTGCTAATACAGGAGATATAAGAGACGCATTTATTAAGATACAGCTGTAAAACAATAAATGGCACCACCTCCACAAGCAATTTTCAAATAGTTGCCCAACTTTAGTAAAACTGCCAAGATTCGGCGAAAACACACTTATTTTTGAGCAGATCCGAATTATTTCTTCAAAAGTTGCTGAATGTAGCGACCCACAACGAGGAATGGGCGATGCTCAAACTCTTCCTTTTTCTCGGCATTGACCTGTAGAAGATTTGCTGGTATCGGGAACTTGGGTTAGGGATACGTCGGACACTCACCTGATCGCCGTCCAGACGGTTGAGTAGCGTCACACAGATGTCGCCAGCCTTCACGCCAATCTTCTGAGTGATGGAGGCAAAGAAGCTGGCCTCCATTTCGATGTTGCGTATGCCCAGGTCATGGCACTTGTGCAAGAATTTCATCTTGTCCTCAGCCGTGTACTCGCATATGGCACCATCAGTACGACCCTGACCTAAGTCAATCCAACAGGCATTGCCATGGGTTATGGGTTGTTTCTTTGAACCACTTGACATTCTCACACTCACCCTCGTAGAAGCAGTCTGTGCCCATGGTATTGGCACTTATGATTTGGAAACCATCGTCGGGCCTGACACCATATGCCAGAATATCCTTGATCACACTCTCTGGGAACTGGGCGGGGCGCACCACACGCTCTCCGAGAATTGCCTGACCATCCAATCGAATTGGGAATCGAATAACTAAAGTGTACACTGAATGCGGATCCACTTACAATCTCGTGTTCGTTGCGGAGCAAGCCGTTGAAGGCATCCTTCGTTACGACAACCGTGCCGGGGGTCACACCGATGCCGCCGCAGGTGCCGATCCGCAGGAATATCGGATCCTGGCACTTGGCGTAGTGGACCAGCTTCAGCAGCTCGTGCAGCACCACGCTGAAAGTGGAGGAGCCGACACCATGGCTGACACAAATCACTGGGCCCACCTTGTAGAGCGCGTAGCGATGTCCCTTGGCGCACAAATCCACAGGCTCGCTGGTGTCCTCCACACCCAACAGTTTGCCCAGATATTTGGCCAGTTCCAGCATACGTATTGCGGTGCCACCCGTGCAGATAACCTGTAGATATGCCATACTGAGGGACTTACTTCCGATTGACTGGCTCAAGTCTTACCCTGACATCTCCAAACTGCTTCTGAATGTCGCCCGTGTTCTTGGTGTCGGGCACATTGATGGCCAGATGGTACAGATAATCAGATGGCATTCCTTCCAGATGGGGATTCTTCAATTGAATGCTGCTGAATGAATGAAGAAGGAACTCATTTGAACATCGGTAAACATTCGGCACTTAATGTGTCTTACTTGTGAGACATTGTTGGCTCGAGATTTGTGTACGTGACTGGAACTGAAATAAGAAAGAAATGTAACTTTATTTCCACAGCAGAGTAAACACTGTCAACACTTTCATTGATCTTGAAATATTTGTTTTAATTTTTATATGCTTGCCGGCCTTCTTGTTGCCAGCGTGTGGCCAATCTTATCTATTTATTCAGAGCCAACTAAAAGCTCATATGATTAAATACACACGCACACACCCAAGAATATATATGTAATCAATAGATTGTTATCTTTTATAGTTTCGCAAATATATATGGAATATGTATTTTAGTATTTCAGTGACAGCTCCTTGAGGGGCTCGTCAGCTACTTGAGCAAACGTAAGACACTTGAACGACCGACTGCTCCGGGCAACGTTGCGAACGTGTCGACTGCGCTCAGAGAACTGAACTGAACTGAACTGAAAACTTGAACGTGCCAGCGCAGATCGTGTATGGCCGCTGCTGGTTATAGCGAGAAATTGATAACTCGACCTAAGTTCTATATATCTGCTTCCGCGCAAGGAGGAACATCCTCCTGCTCATCGGTGTCACTATCTTCATCTTGTCCGAGCATTGCTTTGCGAATGTATCGCGCCACGAGCTCTTGGGGTCGCTTCTCCCACTCACTTAGGCGGTCCCGAGAGGCAAGTACCTAGCGTGTGAATCATCAGAGGGAGATTATTATGAATGGGGTGGCGGGCACTGACCTGATCACCCTCCATACGATTGATGATGGTAATGGAGACGACGGCAGACCGTACACCTGCTCTGCTTGTGAGAGCGGCGAAGGCGGTGCTCTCCATATCGAAATTGATCACTCCTTGGCCCAGGAGCCCCTGTAAATAGGCGCTCTTCGAGGGATTCGTGTAGTCGCAAAAGGCGCCATCGAGTCGCGTCTGGCCCTCGTAGAAGTCGTTGGTGCAGACGGTCTTGCCAACAACTGTGTCAAACTCATCCTCGCAAGGATCGGCCAGTGACAGGAGCTCTTGGGTCAAGCATTGGTCTAGTTTGCTGGAATGCTGCACGACTTTGCCCTGAACGATTGTCTCATGATAGGGACGGAGCATGCCGTCCAGTGCCTCCGATGTAATGGCCACGGTTCCGGGCTCTAAGCCGATGCCACCGCAGGTGCCAATTCTGATAAAGACGGGATCCTGACACTTGGCATGGTGCATCATCTTAAGGAGCTCATGCAGCAGTATGGAAATCGACGGGCCTCCCATGCCATGACTGGCACACAGCACTGGGCCCACTTTGTAGAGCGCAAAGCGGTGACCATCCTCGGCCATATTCCTAAGTTTTGTGGCCGGGTGCAGCTTCAGACTGAGCTCCTTCATAATCATATGGGCAAACCTTTCCATACGTTCGGGCGTGCCACCCATGCAAACAAACTACAACGAATTTAGAGCCCTTAGCCGAAAGGACTCACGACCATTTGACTTACCCGCACATCGCCAAAGATCTTGGGAAAGTTCATTGAGCCCGTGTCCATGCCCAGGTGATAGAGAACGTCGGGCTGGAGGCATCTCAGGCAGGGATTCAGACCCTTTAAAGTGCTCTCTCTTGGCGGCTTTTTACATCCCATCTTCATGTGCCTGACCAGCCGCCCAAGCTGCTTACCCTGTGACCTCACCAACTCTGTGGGATCACACTATTCGCTTACACTATCTCACTTATTGGACTGTGTTCTACTTGCCCTTCAACTGGCAAACATCGCGATTCAACTCGCAATTCCCAGCCATTTTGATGTTCAAACAAAAATTTGTTGCGTTTTTTCGAAAAATAAATTTTTATAGCAGCCAAATTGTATTATTTTTCTACTACTGACATGTTTCCCAAATGCCAGACTTTCCAGGGAAATGTGATCGTGGAGTTCACTTGAATTTAGTGCACATTTTGAGGGGAAACCCAGATTTTTTTTTATTTGCGCGAATGCGCAAACTCAAGTTGCAACTGTTTACTTTTGTTATACGCGGTACTCGAAGAGTAAATAGGGTATGGATGGATGTATGTAACGCTCAGCTATCAGCATCAATAGCTGAGTCGATAGAGCCATGTCTGTCTGTCCGTCTGTCCGTCTTGTTTGTTGGCTAGTTCTCAGAGACTATAAGAACTAGAGCCGTTTCTGCACAGAAAACGGGTAAAATGCTAATCGTAACATTTATATTTAATAACATTGATGAGACGCAACATGCGTACATTTGTGGGTTTTATTTTCCCAGTAATTAAGTGTTAAAAATCGAAAAGCATCAAGGTACATATTAATAATATACACACAGCAAATTCGCGTATATCATACGCCTGCCGTAAGTTCTTAAAGTTGCCTTCCCACATGATATGTTCTTTCCCGTACGCCTCGTCAACATTAGAGTTTATAAAGCCAAACGGATTTGCATGGAATGCCACATAACGCCAAACAAGTATGAGCAAGAGGCTGTTACTGATTGCGAGAATCAAACGACAAGTTTTCTAGATGATATTCCTTAAGGCACCACCTACCTCATTTTGTGATATAATGTTCAGATAACCGTGTAGTCCAATGGGTCCAGGATATGCCTTCAAAATGCGTATTAGAAACGAAAGAATTTTTTATAGAATTTCCTATGCCAGCAAATTTGATTTAACAGGAAGCGAGCACTAGGATTATGGGAAAATATTATAACAAAAATGTAGAAAATAGTTGTTGGAGGCAACACAGTTGCTTCTGCTTTTTACATAGGATTTAGGTTACTGCTCCAACAACGTATAGAAGGTTAATACAAGCAGAATGGCGACATGACGAAGTTCTGGCAGTTTTATATAGCTCCTCAACATATACTCGTCTCCGAGGGCCTCTTGAATGGTCTCGCCTATGCAGTCATAAGGGTTCAAAAGATTGAAGTAAAAGCGGCAAAAAAGGAAGAAGGCGATGCCAGACTGACTGGGGGAGAGAATTGGTCAAGGGCTTCCACGGAGGGATATCTCAGATCACAACTTACTCCATTCACACGCTGTTAGGTCGCCTTTAGTCGAATAAGTTCAATTTAATTCTCAGATTTAGTTAAATGACGAACTGTTGTGTTCTGTTGTGTTCATAAAATGCTTTGGAACTTATGAATCGGTTCTGTATAGGCTTGCTATGTATAAATATCGAGCTCTGGGGGTTCTCTTATTTGGTTTCAGTGCTTTCAGTTGGTTCGTTTTCGATGTATGTATGTTTCATATTGAAGCTACATTTTATAGCATATTTTTGGGTGGAATATTGATGTAGAATGGTTGTGAAAATCATGTAACAAATGCTAAGGTCTCCCCTTTAAATTCCCAATTTTGTATAATTGAAATACAATTTGTTTTTAATATGCCTTTGAAATATTCCTTTTTTGTTGTAAACTTTTGTTTTTACAATATAACTTGTATACATTTGAAGTGCTTATTTATTTTGTTTTAGTTTTAGTTTGTGTTCAGCATTTTGTGTTTGTTGATTTTGTCTTGGAGTGATAGAATTAGATAGAGTAAGATTAAACTGTTGGTTTCGTTATACAGGATACAGGCTAGAGATACGTTAGCAACATTAATCAACATGTACATTTAACAAATGTTTAGAAATTACAATACAATTGAATTGAATAATTTATGAATTTGTATATTAGGTTCATGGTATTTGGATTCATTTTATATCCATTTTTGTTATTATCAAACTTTTATTTTATCGATTAGCTCCATGTAAAATATGCAACATAACAATTAACAATATTATTTGATCTATTTATTATTAGGTTCGTTCTCCGTTTTCGTAAACCATTTTGTGATTTCGTTTATTCCTGATAACCATTAAGCGTCTCCTTTAGTGATATATTATATATATAATCGTACTCGTACTCGTACTCGTACGACTGATTATACGATGTAGAAGTGGATTTGTGGGAACGTTTACCACACAGCATTTTAGTGCTAAATGAATATACATACAATATGCTTGGGTTTAAATAAGCTAATGAGGTTGATATACACAGAAATTAAGCTAGGAACTTAGGCAGAGCTAAACTAGGGAATGTTGAAACACCATTGTATACTGGGAGATGCGACACCGACACGAATGCGAATAGCTATCCTCAAATGATAGATGCAATAGATGCTGTAGTGTCTACTCGTGTGCCTGGGACTCCTGCTGCACGAGCTTGAATCGACGTGGCGACTTTATCGATCCCTGATGCCCGAACAAATTCTTCAGCTGGCCATCGCGGGTCAGCACCTTGCGTATGTATCGTGCCACAAGTATCTGGGGGCGCTGTGAATGAAAGCGATATGGGATTTAGGGGTATTTCAGTTAGATTGGAGTTCCACCTCTCACCTGCTGCCACTCGTGCATGACCTCCTTGGGCGCATTGACCTGATCGCCATTCAGACGATTCAACAGTGCCACACAGACGACGGCTGCCTTGATGCCGGCATGGTGGGTCAGGGCTGCGAAGATGGTGCTCTCCATTTCGATGTTGACCACCCCGTTGTCGCGCAGCTTCTCCAGATAGGCCATCTTGTCGTTCTCGGTGAACTCGCAGAAGGCGCCGTCCAGACGGCCCTGGCCCTCGTAGAAATCATTTGTGCACTGGGTCTTGCCAATGATGGTGTCATACGGATCGTCGGCACTGTGCAGGGATTTCAGCTCACGGGCCAGCTTCTTGTCCAACTTTGCCGGTCGGTGCACGGTCTCGCCCAGAATGGTCTGCAAAGCAAAGAATTATTTAATTTCATGATTGTTTCATGCGAGCTTTAAAGCACTTACAAATTCATGGGAATTTCTCAGCTGACCATCGAGGGCATCCTCGGTGATGATGACAGTGCCGCCTTCGACGCCGATGCCGCCACAGGTGCCGATGCGTATGAAGATCGGATCAATGCACTTGGCATGGTACATCAGCTTGATCATCTCGTGCATCAGAATGCTGACCGAGGGCGTTCCCATGCCGTGACTGACACAAAGCACCGGCCCAACTTTGTACATCGAGTAGCGATACGAGTAGGCGCTGATGTCCTGCAGCTGGGTGCCAGCTGGCAGCTTGTAGCCTATCTCGTCCATAATGAAGTGTGCAAAGTTCTCCATGCGCTTTGGTGTTCCGCCCATGCAAACGAACTGGTCAGCGTTGCATGAAAATGTAACAAGTAGTTCAAAAAGATTATTAAATATAAAACACAAAGGGCCATTCCCCTATAAACTGAACTATCGAGTTTGATTATTCAGCTTATTCAGCAATAAATATGAGTGAAAAGTCGAATTAAGTCTGATAGTAAACCAGGTCTAGGTCTGGGTCAAATATGAATAATGCATGAGCTTGACGCTTGATTAATGTACGTAGATTTTGTCTCACCTTAACATCGCCAAACATCTCCTGCAGATCATGACTCTCACTGCCCAGGGCCAGATGGTAGAGAATATCCTGGTCCATCAGCTCAATGTTCGAGTTGCGCAACTTAACAGTTCCGTCAGAGTATCTGTAGATTAGAGGCAGACAAATTAGACTCCATGTTTACTCCATTTTTAACCAAATGAAAACCAAACCAATTCGAAACGAAACTCATTAAATTTTCGTGTTTTGATTGACATTTTTTTATCTGAATATTTCCTAGAAATTCGAATATCGTAGATAATGAAAAGTGTCAGGTTTGTCATCGATGTCTGTGCACTTGAAACCTAAAAGAACCACCACAAATCGAATTCCAATTTCCCCATAACGATGACTAAGGTTTTCTTTTCTATGAATGGAAAATAAACAGTTCGGATTTCACTTCTCTAATCAATGTTTGCATAATGAAAACAAATGAGCGGAGCGACCCCCCTGTAGAGACCCGAAATTTGCCAACGAGCCCCCTGCCAGATAGTCATTATCAAGTGCGTCAACGCCGAAATAAATATGTAAAAAAACAAGTTCCAACTGTGAGCACAACAAATGGCAATAACATTTTGTGACATAAGCATAATCAGAGAGTATCTGGGCATAGTCTTGACCTTGATTGATAAGAGAATCTCATACTACGTATACAAATGAGCAATTTCCTAAGTAGTTAGGCAAACATCCGATCATAATGTTTGTTATGTGCTTGGGTTTGGTCTATCAACAAATCAGACGCGCTCTGATTGATGACAGTCGAAACCGGACAGCCAGGAAGGGTGTCTGGGGGTCGGTAAGCTCTATTTTCTCTTTATGGACACTCCCACTCGCAAGAGCAAATATTTGGCCAACTCTTCTGTCTCGTTTTTGCTCTTTGGATGTTGCTGATAGTCTTTGGTATCTATGCAGCCTGAATGCCAGCAATGCGATGTGTCATTGTGCCAACTAAAGACTGCATTGCGCATTCCATTACACAGAGCATCTTCTTACGGTTGAGTCACCAGGTGGTTCAGTGGCCCGCCAAGGACCACGAACAACCCCCGAATCCTGCCAGACGGCAGCTGCTGCTCGAACCTATGCCAATCCAACCGGTTTCCTCTCTGTAATTGTTTGCTTTTTGCATCCTTACCGCGTTATTCTCTGCACATAGGCATCGTCTGACTCTCCATCCTGCATGTGGGCGAGATCGTAGTGCGCCTTGAAGTCATGCGACTTATTGGCTGTTATTGTGGGTGGCATGATGTCACCGTGTCCTTTTGGCCCACTCCTTGTAACCACCAAAACAAACTTGTAAAAACGCACTCAAAGAGCGGCAGAAAGCCCAAACACAAACACGAAATAAAAGCGAAATATGTAGACACGTCAACGTTTCGAGCGAAACTAAAAAATTGTTCACTGCTTCGCCGG